ATGTTTTTTTAAGCCCAAACTATGAATCCTCGCTGTATTGAATACTTGTTCGTTTTTGCTGTCTTGTGTGCTCAAAGTACTTTTGTTCCCAAAGTGGTGAGATTTTGATGAAAGCACAACACACACGCCGCCTCTGGGACACAGTGTTTGTGGAAAACATGACCTGAAAATCAGAATTTTCGTTTATTAGACGTCAATTTACGTGACAACCTTCGGAGAAACTCGTGCGTGCCCGAGCTATTTTCTGATTGGATTAAAAAAGTCGGAGAGTTGACGAGTGCCTCAACGAAGATTTGTCAAAAGCTATTCTCGTTTTCCCCTTTCAAGCGTTCCTTTTTGCAAGAGTACAAACGCCAAGTTGTGTGGCGCAAGCAAACAAAACTCTAACATAAACTAACTTACCGCATTCAAACAGCAGAAGTCCCTGATTGCTTGTTGAAATCTGTTCACACAGTTTCAGCGAGCACACCAGACATTCACCGCTTTGGAAAAATAATATTATACACGTTACATAAGTTAACCGTTTAACGCAAGAAATCATCAAATGCCTTTCTTTAATCATGGTGTTTATGTACGTCTCACAGAATTCTTTTCAGGGGAATGTCATTTTTTTTCCTTCTCTTTTCCTTAATTGATCCAACTCTTTCTTTGATAGCCTGCCTATTGCAGAGGTACAAAAGATGGGTAAAACATAGCATTTGATATTGGAGGGACTCAAATAAAAAAGACGGGGGTGCTCGTCGGAAATTTTGAAAAGAATCCTTAAGAGGTATCAGGATCAGTTTTGTGGGCGTGGCTTGAAATATTTTTCCCTAAGAGGTACCAATTCTAAAACAACACATTTTCTCCTGTCTTATTCAGTTTCTCGGCTCAATACTCAAGGTACCACTAAAACTCCCGCTGTTTCTTTTTGAGGCTTAACACCCTAAGGGGTACCAAAATCACTTTTTTAACCCCTAAAAGGACGACGAGGACCCCCGTCTTTTTTATATGGGAGTTCCCCCCGTGGGGGGGGGGGGTTGATATCTGCGATATCAAAATATCGCGTTAGCTGATAATGGTACTCACTCAGACAGACGAATGTTTTGTCCCCAGTTCGAAGCTATAGAGTCAAACAAAACATTCAAATGTATCAGCAAAGATGGGATAAGATCAGTCTGACTCGCAACTTGTAAAGAATGAAGTCTCGCGTGTTACCTCCATCCTCTAGTGTCCGGAACTGTAACATGGACTCCAACTGAGGTTTAAAGTCTTCCTGTTAAATTAAATGCACGACATTTTATACTAACTATTTGTATTCCAGGTTAGGAGCTGTTCTTTTTACTCGGAAATGAACAGTAACAGTCGCAACAAATTTGCATTCAAAACAAAAAAAAAGGACAGTCACTAAGGCAGCGTCCACATTAGACCGCAGGAATAATGAAACGCAGCTTTATTTCTACGGTTAGGCTTACCGTCCACACTAATCCGTCGTGAAAACGGAGCTTTTCGAAAACACTCTTCAACCCGGAGAAAGTTGAAAACGCCGTCTCTTCGTCAGTTCGTGTGCACGGAAAACATTTTGAAAACGGAGCTTTTCGAAAATAGCCTGTGTACACGAGGAGGCGGATGTACATAGGCTATTCGAAAACGATCACATCACGAGAATCATGTGATTTCCCTTCCCGAGTTTTTCTCAAACACAAATCCAAATTGACCGGTGTTTCTTGCGTTTTTAAATTCCTCCGGCGTAGTGTGGACGGAAAATATTTGATGCGTTTTCAGAGTGAAACCTCCGTTTTCAAATTTCTCCAGCATAGTGTGGGCGGGACCTCAGGCTTAAGTAAGTAAGTCAAGTAAGAACCAAAACACAAATGCAGTAGCTTGGTTACCTTGCTTGTGGGACCGCTTGTCTCTTCTTCCTTACGGAAATTGTTCAACTGAAACAGAAGAAGAGGTATGAATGTCTAAACAAGCGATGTTTCACTTTCTTTCTATGTGACAGATTTGGTGCGCTACAGACGGCAGATGGAACGAAAACGTCACCAAAAAAGGTTCAATGAGCAGAACAATGGCTAAACACGTTTGTACATTTCGTAGCCGTCCTCTGCAAAACGCTGAACAACGTGAAATGACCACCTTCTGCGTATTTTGGAGAACGTAGACCACGACGGCAAATTTTTCGTGTTTCTTTTTGCAATTGATCGCTGGCATTACATATTTAGATTGAGCAGGTTTTCAGACCGATTGGCGTACTAAGCAGATTCAAATGGCTGCGAAATTCGATGGTAAAACATAAATCTATTTTTTTTTACTAGGCGTCGTCCGTGGCGTCGCCGTCGTCATTGCTTAAGGTCCCTATAACACTAAAACATCAGAAACTACCAGCCGGAATGTGATCTTTACCCCCTGATGTGTGATAACAGTGCGACTACTCGAATCGAGCCACCTAGAAGAAAAATAACCAATCAAAATGTTAACTGAGAACAATGGACTGGAAGCTTTCACGTGTCGTCAAGTATCAAGGGACTGTTTGACGTGAAAACATAAACGACTCCTCTACGTTATATACACTCTTAGAGATTCAATCCTTGACGGCAAATTATCATGATTATAAATCTCGCTCGAAAAATTTATCACTTTGCGACAACGTAACCGAAACCGTTGAAAAGCGTACAAAATTTAGGATCGAAACTAACCAATCAACAAATGGCAAAGTTTCCTGAGAGGTTCGTAACACTTCACACTTTGTTGGGTTTTCAATTTTGTTAAGGACTGTTATTGGTTTATTTGAGGAAAATATCGCTATCCTTTGTTCTCAAGTAATGTTCTGATTGGTTAACTCTTTTCCAGGTGGCCTGGTTCGAGTAGTTGCACTGTGACTGGTTTGTACCTTGGGAGCCAAGCAACCGCTTCTTTGTGACCACAAATAGGAATCTAACTTTTTAAGCAGCTCGTGTATCAAGGTCCTGCAAACGAAAACATTACAACAATGGATTAACAAGAAAAAATACGCAGACTTCAGAAGGACATAAAATCTGCTCCCAGTTCCGTTCAATGTTGCAATGCACAGCGCTAAAACAGTACAGAAGTGGTAAGTAACCTTTGCCGTCTCTCAATCACGGCTCCTAGCAGACACGAGTAGTAGAAATCCGTGGTGAGCAGTGGCATGTCACGTGGCAGAGCCTGCAGTAAGTTGACAGTATGTCCAGCGCCCAACCGTTCAAGCATTAGATTGATCACGTTACTCCAAGTCAAATCTGGGAGCCAATCAGAAGCAGACAGTGGTGTGCATGAATGTGGACTGTGACGTGGGTCTTTGCCATGGTGATCGCGAAATAACAACAAATCCAACAGATGTCTCCACTCATCCAACGTCTTTGGCAGGAGTCCTGAACATGAGGAAAACCGAAACACCGAGTACTATTAATACCAACGTTACAACCTCAAACATTTTCAACAAGAAAACGCAACATGTTCACATCGATGACCAAAGATCACTCAGTAGAGAGAAATATTACGATCCAGATCTTTTCACTCGACCACTTACAAGCCGAGGTGTTAGTACTATAACGTGGTCAGTGATCAGTTTGGTGTTTGAAGAGCTTTTTTGTCGGCAGCTTCTAAGGTGTCCTGATTCAGCATCAGAAGGAAACATGCCAAAAAAAATTCACGGCCGCGTTTATTTGCTCTAAAGTTTACATAGAGATCACTTGGAGTTATAACGTAAAGTTTACGTGCATCAAAAGTCATAGATCGAATGTTGCAATTTCATCTCTGATCAATACACAGCCTAAAGGTTATATGATGATCATGGTATGTAAGGTAAAGTAGACCTGCATACGAGCCAAGTGGCCCATCAGGCCGGAGCTTATCCCGGTTTCCGTAGCTTAAAGCGACTAGGAGTATTTCTACTTCCCCCTAGATGGGATGCTAGTCCATCGCAGGGTTACCCCCAGCATTAAATTCGCTTGTACCCATTTATACACCTGGGTGGAGAGAGGCACTGTGACAGTTAAGTATCTTGCCCAAGAACACAACACAATGTCCCCAGCCAGGACTCGAACCCGGACCGCTCGATCTGGAGACGAGCGCACTAAACATGAGGCTACCGCGGCTTCACTGATGATCATGAGAATAAACAGAAACAGCAAAGTGATACTTTCTCAATGTAACACCAAATTCTCTAAACTATAATAAAAAGAAATGCATGTTAATCGTTAAGGAGAATTGATATTTTAACCTGAATGATAGCAGTTGTACATACCCCATGGTTGCGAGTCTTTAATCAGCTTTAAGTCATTCAAAGAGACGACAAGTTCCAGAGCCTCTTGCCTTCGATTTGTCTTAATACAGA